ATCTGCAACTTATGATAACACAAATTTACGTAGTCTTATTGTAGTTCTCATAATACCACATTTAAAGTACAAAAAAAAAGCCTCTTTGATGCAGGACTTTGACTTCTCAGCACAAATGCGGAGAGGATCACGTTTTAAAAATGTAATTTTCTCTTTTGGTTGACTTGGCTGAGTCTCTGTTGCTATTTCAAAGGTTGGTTGCCTTGTGAGAAAGGAGCAGATGTTGCTTCAGACATAGTCTCGTCGATCAAATCCACTCGGGGCCATCGATATAGGCTGAGAGTACATCACCTTTGACGGAGGTCCGTATCTTTTCTCCGGCCTCTTAGGGCAGCTGGAGCAGAGGATGCCACCCCCTAATAGAAGAAAAGCGGCAGCGGCCCACCCCAGGTAAAGAGCGGCGCCAATCTCCCTCTTCTGGGCCTCTGGTATGACTGGACTGTAGAACTCGTGGATGATAGTATGAGCAGACCAGGAAACTGGTATTATCTGGGTAAGTGAGGCCAAAATAAAAGCCCCTCCAGAGGCAATCATCACCCGAGCTTTAGCTGTCTCTTCATCCACACAGTTGGTGCACTTTGCCCCCATCACAGACATCAGGAGTCCCAAAATTCCCAACACAATGGAGATGACAGTTAGGGCACGTGCGGCCTGAAGATCTCCACTCAGTGCCAACATGGAATCATGGATCTTACACTGCATCTGCCCGGTACTTTGCACCACACAGTTCATCCAAATGCCTTCCCAGGTTGTCTGCGCTGTTACGATGTTCACCCCAATAAACGCGGACACTCTCCACATAGGCAAGACACAGGAAACGATGGCAGAGATCCATCCTAGGAGAGCCAGAGTCACTCCTAGTATCTCTAATCCCAATGAAGGCATGTCTGTAGGATGTGACACACAGATGCTTGTTTAATGCCAGTGTCCAGAGAGGGATTTAGTGAGTATTTGGAAAGTTGAATCCCCATATAAGCAACAGATTTTTTGGTGGAATCGGAGGTGGAGCCTCTCGGTTATTGGCCAGACAAAAATTTAAATTCTCTCCCGTCTCTGTCGTTTGAACTGTCGAAAGCTCGGCCTTGGAATGTAAACAGCTTCAGCTTAATCATTCAACATTCCCAACGCCGGTAGCTCTCCCACCTGGTTGGGTGAGGGGGAGTAAACAAGTGACCTGCATCTCTCAGGACTGGAGTAGTTAAAGCATAACTTAGAAAGTAAAGAGCAGAGGGTGAATGATTGAAAACAATGTGCAGAATATAAGCCTCTGCTGCTGCTGCTGATTCATTTCAGCTCTGTGTGATAGATGCTAAGAATTCAGAAGCACATGCAATTTATCTACAGCATTGTTTTTTTATTAGGAAATTAGAATTTAAAA